ATGGAACTGGAAAGCATTATGCTAAGCGAAATAAGCCAGGCGGTGAAAGACAAATACCATATGATCTCACCTTTAACAGGAACCTAAACAACAAAACAAAAACAAGCAAAATATAATCAAAGACACTGAAATAGAGAACAACATGTCGACAGTGTTCAGAGGGAAGAGGGGAGGGAATTTCAGGGGAAAATGGGAGAGGCTTACAGGAATAAGTATAAAGGACACATGGATAAAAAACTAGGGGCGGGTGAGCATGGGAGGGAGGAGGGGAGGGCTGGGTGGGTGGGCCGGGATGGGAGTAAAAGATAGAAAATTGTACTTCAACAACAATTAAAATAAAATAATAAAAAAAGAAGCAATTGCAACTCCAGGAGAGAGCTGTCTGAGATCCTAAGAGGGTGGCAAAACTCCAGGCTGAGGGAAGGGTGGGCCAGGCTGAGGGGCCCCTATCCTCTGCGTGCTGGGGAGGGCAGGGGCCTGTGGGTAGAGTCCCAGTATCAAGGCTTCTGGAGTGAAGTTCTGGTTTCCAGTGTCAGGCCAGGGCCAGTCTGGGGATACTTTCCCCCAAGGCTGGTCTGAGTCCTACCTTATCTGCTTCTGCTAGAAGCACCCAGAAGCGCAAAATGTCTCCTCCCCAGCACCCCAAATTCTCTGATCCACAGGCTGCCACCTGCAGTAAGCGGGCAGGAGGGGTGGTACTGGGGAGGTGGGGGGGGCAGCCTGCTTGCAGGAGGGTGTTGGGGTACCTGGTGGGAGGGCAGAGAGGCGGGGGTGTCCTTGGATCCTGCTGAGCCAGGGGGAGGAGGGAGGTGGTGAGGGATGGAGGCCCAGGATGTAGATGCCTGCAGTGAGGTGGGCAGGGTCCTCTGCAGATTTCACAGCCCTTTTCACTCTTGCATCTCCCACCCAGGACCTCTGCATTGTCACCTGCTCTTCACCTGTGCTCCAACCACATTTGGGATGGCTGTGTTTTCCCACAGGGGCTGGTGACCTGCTCAACCGGCTAGGGCTGGTCCGTTTACCCTCAGACAACCTGCACAGATCAGCCCCCACTGGTGTGGCTGGGCATGCTGGTGGGCAGGGAGGGCTGAGTGCTGAGTCCCCCAAACAGAAGAGTCCCAGATTTGGTGTCCAGTCGGGGCATACGCCCGCCCTGCGGGCCAGGTCCCTGCTTCTCTTCCTCCTTCTCCCTCTCTTCTGTTCTCGCTGATATTAAATCAATAATGAAAACTAAACAGGAAGAAAAAGAGCCCGCTCAGATCAGTCCAGGTTTCAGGCCTTTTCTCTGCCAAGAGCATGTAGCTGCTGCCTCTTCCAAGCACCTGAGGGGGTGTTGCTGTTCCTGCAAAAAGGGGCGGGTCCTGCCTTCCTAGGTGCCAGTGGCCAACAAGATGCCTTCTGAGAGGCTTTGGGAGGTGTTCCCACACCCTGGGCCCTCCTTCACTGCGTCCTCTAGGCTCTGGATTCTACTCTGGTCCCCTTGCAGGTCCCTCCCTCAGGTCCCAGATTGTCCCCTCAAACCACCAGCAGTGTGGACTCAGCCTTCTCACCCCCCACCGTGGGACATTCTCCTGGGAGTCAGTTGGTCCAGAAAGACACCCAGGGCTCTTGCCTTCCCCACTTCAGCCTTCGGACCTGCCCTCCCCTTCTCCACCCGAACCTCTTCCCTCACCCCAACCCAGCCTCCAGTGCCGGGGCAGGGGGCTGTTTTCCCCCAGGGAGATGCCCTCCCCTCCCCCTCCAGGTCCAGCCACCCAGGCTGCCCTCTAAGGCCCAGGGCACAAAGCCCGGGCATTTGTTAAAACAACAGCACAGAATACCTCAGCACAGAAACAGGTCACAGACTACACTGTTTAACATTTATGAAACATTTAATTCTGGTTTCATATTCTTGCTCTCTCCATCAACCACATCAGAGGGTATGTAAGCAGAACTTTGTGTGAGCAATTTTCCAATAACAGATCATTTCAATCAGCGATGATATTCACCTTAAATTGCATAGAGGAGACAAGTGGGATTCAGGGGTTACAGGAGTTTCATTGCCTTAAACGATAGAGACATAGTTTTGTTTACGAAGCTGCCGCTTCTTAAAGAAATGTGTGATATCTTTTACAGTGTTAACGATAGAGCCTTTCTCCAAAACAGCCCCAATCATTCTCAGCAGAAACGGAAGAACAGGTTTTACCACCTCTGCACATATCGGTTCAATATACAACACCATGGAGGTGTCGTCTAGATACACTATGAATTCCTTTGGCAAAGCAGCCACAATCCATTTCACCAGAAACATAAGAACATGTTTTATCATATCGGTGAACATATGTTTCATATGTGTCCTCATTGAGGTGTTGTCTAGATACACTATGAATTTCTTTGGGAAAGCAGGCACAATCAATTTCACCAGAAACAAAAGAACATGTTTTATCATATCGAAGCATATCGGTTCCATACACATCATCATCGAGGTGTCATCTAGATACACTACAAATTCCCTCAGCAAAACAGGCACAATCCATCTAACCAGAAACATGAAAACATGTTTCATCATATCGGCGCACATAGGTTCTACACATGTCCTCATCGAGGCGTAGTCTAGATACACTACAACTTCCTTTGGCAAAACAGGCGCAATCCATCTCACCAGAAACATGAAAACATGTTTCATCGTATCAGCGCACATACATTCTATATAGGTCCTCATCGAGGCGTCGTCTAGATAAACTACGAATTCCTTTGGCAAAATTATTATCAACTTTTCCGTGAGAAAAGCTGTCAGGAAGTTCGTTAAAAGGCGCACAGCAATGGTTTTTGATGATGAAATGACCTTGAAAATCATCCTGAATATTTGTTTGCCTCCAACCGGTTCTTAATTTAGAAAGGTGATCGAATAGCAACACAGAGAGACTAATGCCAGAGAAAAACACACAGAAATAAAACAGGAAAGAAATGTTTGTGATACTCACAGATGCCCTGGGAAGGAGAGGCACCGCGCACTGTGCAGGGACCAAGGAGGAATAGCAGAATTGGTAATGCGTGGGCAGACTTGCATCATTTAAGGGCGGAGCCAGGGCTGTTCTCGCGTGATTTCCTGGAGGGTGGGAAGACCCCGCAGGGTGGGAAAGTACCAATGGTCTGGACCCTTCTAGTCTAGCCGGGCTACCCTACCGGGTGGTGTGGAGCTGGAGGGCTGACTTCCAGTGGCCTGGGGCCCGACAGAGGGAAGTGCTTGTGTTACGGAACACAACAAGGGGGGCCTGGGACACTATACTATTATTGAAAGAAGGCCCCAGGTCCGTTATGTCCGCCGCCCTAGGAAAGACATTTCTTAATGCCAGAGATTCCTGAAAAGGAAAGGAAATGTTTATTTGATGCTACACTAACTTAAAGTAGTGACCTAACGTCTTTATCAAAAATCCTAAAGTCCCTAAAAACACCCACAAACACGCAGTCCTTCCTTCCTTCCCCCTTTGCCCAGTCCAGAGTACCGTATCTCAGGAAAGAAAATAGAAGTCCATGGCTCAGGCAGTCCTCTGGTTCTTCCCAGTTAGTCCTCCATCTCGACTGGGAGACCTCCCTGGGTTCCCGGCACCCTCCTCTGAGTTGCCGGGATCTCTGCTAAAACCAGGTGGTGGTTCCCCCTTCTAAAGCTGCAGGGGTCTCCACTCTGGCACAGGCACGTGGTTCTCCCTCTCTCAGGGATGTGGGAAGGGGAGAGTCCCCACTCTGCCAAAGCTGCGTGGTTCTCTTCCCTCAGGGCTGCAGGAAGGGAGAGTCCTCCCTCTGCCAAAGCCGCGTGGTTCTCCCTTCTAATGGCCGCCAAGTCTGGGTTTTCAAATCCCCGCGGCCAATCTTCCTCTGCAGCCTCATTTCCGACTCCTCCCACACTCGGCTTCACATGCCAGAACTCGTATCCTTCCAGGTTCACTGGGCTGCCATCATGAGTCTGGGCAGGTGTGGCCCCATGTCCTGGAGCCAATCTTCTCCGAGCTCCCACACAGGCGCTGTAGCTTGGGGGGATCTGCCCCCAGTCACGTCTTGGTGGGGAAGTTACTTCCATTCCCCTGGCTCAGAGATGATCACAGCTATTTAACATATCCATGCAACCAGCCAAAGGCTATAGATATGTTAAATGACCATGCCAGAGGGTAGCTGCAAGGCTGTTGCTATGCAAAACAGCTCTCAATGGCCTTGCTCCATTTGTCCCTTCCCCCCAACCCACACCCTGGGTGGTGGGGATGGAGACATCTTAAAATCTCCTGGGCATCTTAAGTTCTGGACCCTATTTCAAATGCCCACTTGGGGTCCCCCCTCTTGGCCGCACCTTGTAACACTTGCACAGGAGAAATCCTGGCTTGGTGCAGAAGAGTCAGACCCACACCAGGCCGGGGGCGGGGGGGGCGGGGGCGGGGGGCGGGGGGGGTGGATAATCAATCAAGCTGGAAGCAGAACAGAAGCGGGTTCATGTCTCCATAAAAGAAATAGATGTGAAGGCAAGGCCCTTGGCCCACTACAGTCTCCCAAAGGTTTCCTGAAAGGAAGGAGAGAGTTGCCTGGCACAGCCCTTGGTACCCCTCCCCAGGGTGGTTGGGGGCCTGTCCTCCTTTGTCACCCGCGGGGCTACTGGGCACGCTGTAAAAACGCGCAGACCAGTGAGAACAGAGCGGTCCACATACCCCCCAGACCACAAGACAGGGCGTCGGCCTAGTCCGCCAACCAGCCTGGACAGGACAGACGTGGGCAGACAGACAGACTGAAGAGCGTGTGGGGAGATGCCATGTGGTAAGGATGACAGAAAGGATGAGATGGGGGCCTCTCCCTCTGACAGCCACCACAGGACTCACGGAGTTCCCTGAGAACATCCCGGGCTCCTGCCCTAGAGGCTGAGAGGCTGAGGAGGAACAGGACACTGTCTCTAACCCCCACACCCCCACCCCGCTCCGTCCACCCACAAAATGCACAGCCCACAGCCGTGCTGCCTTTCAGTTACGTCATCGGGACAAAATACTGGGGAACTGCACGTGTGGTGTTCAGACCTGGCAGGTACTGCCACAGTCGGACGAGAAGGAAAGCGGCACATGTCACGTCTCTCTTGATGTCACACAGAGAACATGGCATCATGTCTGGGGCGATCCTGCCCAAAATACACCAAGGACATCCATTCTTGAGGAACTAGGAGCAAAGGCAAAACGAGCCATCTTCAACAAAATCTCAACTGGAAGTTGTTGGGAAAGGTCAGTGTCAGGAGTCAAAAACTCCAGCTCCAGAGACCAGGCACCTCAAGGCTGGACTTCCTCCTGGACTTGGTCCTGAGTCACTGAGGGAAGAGGGAGAAGGAAATCTCTCTCTCTCCCGTCTTTCTCTCCCACCTCCATGCCCCTGCTGCTTGAGCCTGCAAGGTCTCTCCTACCTGAGAGGTGGGTTCCTTCCTTGTGTTTTCTGCTGTACAGGTGTTAGTGGGAGAACGGGCAGAATTGGAAGCAGGTCTGTGGATTGGATTGTAATACTGTTTCCATGCTGATTTCCTGTCACGCACGGAGTGCGGAAGGGTCCTGCCAGTGTCCCCACTGCTCCAGAAGGCACGGTAGAGAATTGACACCACAGGGGTCCTAGCAGTGCACACAAAATGTTACTTCAATTCCTAGACCTCATGTAGGGGGATATTTTTCCTCAGGAGAATTTAAAATAACACAGACCCTTGTCCTTGCATCCAGGAACACCCAAGGAGTAGAATTTCTTCCAAAACCTTTCTCCAGAAGGCAAAGAAAACTTTCTCCATTTCACTCCAACAGAAAGTCATGGGCTTCGTGGTGGACACTGTTTCAAAGGCACTTGGACAAGTACCTGAGAACATAAGAAGATTCAGAAATCTTGAAAGGTTTCCAAGCCACGTAACGATACAATCAAGAACTTTTTGAAACTCTAAACCACAGGGCAGGAAAGACACGTTTGTTTCTATTAGGAGAGCATTTCCAGACATCAGGGCTCTCTCCACCTCAGGGAGACACTGGAACTGGGTGGGCTTGTGCGGATGAGCCTGCAGCCTGTGTCTGGGACACCTGCCCCCACCCATTCCAGTTGCCTTGGCCCCGAAGTGCCCAGCCCAACAGTTGCCTTAGTTCATGCAGAGCACCTCCAAGTGGCTTGGTCTGGGAGGAGAAAATCTCCTGTCTCAAGAGCAAGGTCAGGGACTGACTGGGCTCACTGAACTATGGGGTCTGAGGAGCTCAAGTCCAGAGGTCTCAGGGGGACTCTGTGCTCCACAGGCCCCCCAGAGTATCCGAGCTGCTGGGTCCTGTGTGCACATGCAGGTTCTGGGGAGAAGGGGCCTGGCAGGGGTGAGAGCAGCATTCCACCCTTTCCTGGGGTGTTCCCTTGTAGGGTCACAGCTCCCTGATCTCTGGAAAGCTGCTAAGCCGCTAGTATGCTGGGTTCCTTGCTGAGTGCCTGTCCTGGTCTCCATCTGCTCCTTGCCACCCTGGCCTGTCCCCCATGGGTGGGCATTACCTGTAGCTCCATTTTCATGCTGAGCTTTGGATAGCCCACTGGGATAGGGAATGGAGGGAAGTGGGGTCAGAGTGTAAGGCTGGAAGTCTCTAAGTGTGTCTGTAGCAGAGGCCAGGACTCTTCCCCAGCAGGGAAGTGCTGGGATTGGAGCTTCTTCACTGACACAGCTGGGCCCCACCCCTGTGGTCTCCCTCAGCCTCCTGTGCTCCATGACCAGCCCAGAGTCCAGTCCCACAGTAGGCCCTGTGAAGATGAGAGGGAACCCCAGCAGTTCACTGCAGACACCTGCTCTTTCCATACCCACTAGAAAGCCAGCTCTGATGAGAAATCTTTGCTGGTTTAATTTTCCAAAAGGTTTTGCCAGCTCGGGCCATGACTGTGTGTCCTGGGAGGGGTGGCAGTGGGAGAAGGGCTGGAAGGGGCAGGTGAGGGAAGGAATGAAGCTGAGGGAAGAGTCCCGGTGGAGGGTGCAGAGCACTGAAAGGACGGGGGAGGACAAGCAGTGTTGAGGAGAGCCTGAGGGAGCCAAGCTGGGAATGGGGTTGGGATCGGGGGTACAGCTGGGGATGGAGGACAGAGTCTCTTCAGCAGAAGAACCAGGCAGGGGAGGAAGAGGAAGAGGAGGCTGCTCTTCCAGGCCTGGTGGGTGTCTGCAGGGGCAGGGCGGCTTTTGGTGGAGCAAAGAACACAGTTGAAGACTCAGGAGTGCCCTTGATGCTGGGACCTTTGGATTGATGTTGGGCATTCTGGGTTGGGTGGGCACTCCCGTGGAGGGTAGGGGGGCTGAAAACACCGGAAAGTATGAAAAGAAAAAGAGTGCAGGGCCACTGTGTGTGAAGGAGGAAGAAAAAGATGTGTTTCTGCACAGAGGGAGCCAGAGAAAGGTGGGGGCACTTACCATCAGAGGCTCCCTTGCCTGCAGTTCAGCACAGGATGTCTTCAGGGGCAGAGTCCTTGGGGCCCTGAGAGAGGAGTGGGAGGGAGACCCAGGGTGAGGGGGAGACTGGCTGCCACTGGGGGACGGGCAGTGTAGGTTTCAGGAAGGAAGTGGAGGGAGTGGGGAGTTGAAGGCTGGAGAGGGGGCTGGAGGCCACTGCAACAGAGGGAGGAAGTCAGGGAAGAGAGCTGTTTGAGAGCCCAAGCGGGTGGCAAAACTCCAGGCTGGGGGAAGGGTGGGCCAGCCCAAGGGGCCCCTATCCTCTGCATGATGGGAGGGCAGGGGTCCCTGGGCTTCGGTCCCATATCCGGGCTTCCAGAGTGAGGTCCCGGGTTTCAGTGTCAGGCCAGGGCGGGTCTGGGGATACTTTCCCCCAAGGCTGGTGTGAGTCCTGCCTTTTCAGCTTCTGAGGGAAGAGCCCCAGAAGTGCAAAATGTTGCCTCCCCAGCACCCCAAGTCCTCTGATCCACAGGCTGCCATTGGCAGTAGGGTGCAGGAGGGGCAGCACTGGGTGGGGGCTGAGGGCCAGCCAGCTTGCAGACGGGTGTTGGGGTGCCTGGTGGGAGGGCAGAGAGGCGGGGGTGTCCTTGGATCCTGCCGAGCCGAGCCGGGGGGAGTGAGGGAGGTGGCGAGGGCTGGAGGCCCAGGACTCAGATGCCTGCAGTGGGGTGGGCAGGGTCCTCTGCAGATTTCACAGCCCTTTTCACTCTTTTCTTCAGTCTCCCACCCAGGACCTCTGCATTGACACCTGCTCTTCACTTGAGCTCCAACCACGCCTGGGATGGCTGTGTTTTCCCACAGGGGCTCCTTGCCTGTTCAACTGGCTAGAGCTCATCCCTAGTGCCCTCAGAGAATCTGCGCAGATCAGCCTGCACGGCTGTGGCTGGGCAGGTGGAAGGGCTGGCAGGCAGGTCCGTGCGCCGAGTCCCCCAAACACAAGGGTCCCAGATTCGGTGTGTAGTCCAGGCACTCACCTGTCTTGCGGGCCAGGTCCCTGCTTCTCTTCCTCCTTCTCCCTCCCTTCTGCTCTCGCTTATATTAAATGAATAAAGAAAACCAAGCAGGAAAAGAAAAAGAGCCCGCTCAGATCAGTCCAGGTTTCAGGCCTTTTCTCTTCTGCAAAGTGCATGCAGCTGCTGCCCCCAAACAAGGGGTGTGTCCAGCATCCTGGGTGCCAGTGGCCAACAAGATGCCTTCTGAGAGGCTTTGGGAGGTGTTCCCACGCCCTGGGCCCTCCTTCACTGCGTCCTCTAGGCTCTGGATTCTACTCTGGTCCCCTTGCAGGTCCCTCCCTCAGGTCCCAGATCGTCCCCTCAAACTCCAGCAGTGTGGACTAAGTCCCCCCACCCCTACTGCGGGACATTCTCCTGGGAGTCAGTTGGTCAGGAAAGCCACCCAGGGCTCTTGCCTTCTGAACGGTTTTCTTAGGCTTCGCCGAGGATAAATGCTAACCAGCCATAAAATTAGGCAGTATAGAGCTTTATTTGGGGTTTTAGCGCCCGGGCGACTTTTTTTTTTTTTTTTTCCTGGTCTGCACAGCGCGGGGCCGAGAAAAGCCGCCCGGAGCAGGGACAATGGCAGGGTTTTATTTTGGGTTGGCTCTCCTTGGGAGCTGGGGTTTGGTCCCTCATGAACCATGTGGCAACATGTCATTGGTGGTTCCCCTCGCGCCCTGCTTTGACGTCAGCCATCTCTTCCAGGTTGCACTTCAACGGCCATTTTGTCCTACCCCGCCCATCCTGACACCTTCCCCACTTCGGCCTTCGGACCTGCCCTCCCCCTCTCCACCCGGACCCCTTCCCTCACCCCAGGCCAGCCTCCAATGCCTGGGCAGGGGGCTGTTCTCCCCCAGGGAGATGCCCTCCCCTCCCCCTCCAGGTCCAGCCACCCAGGCTGCCCTCTAGGGCCCAGGGCACAAAGCCCGGACAGATGTCCCACAGATCGCAGAACAGAAACAGGCCACAGAGTGCACTTGTTTAAAGACACTTTACTTCATGTTTTCACGTTGCTCTCACTCTCTTCATCAATGAATCTCACTCTCTTCATCAACTGCATCAACTGCATAGTAAGAATAACTTTGCAGGAGCAATTTCCAATAACAGATCATGTCAATCAGCGATGATATTCACCTGCAGTCGCAGAGAGGGAGGCAAATGTGATTCATCCACCACACAAATTTCATGGCCTTAAACGAGACACACACTCGTCGGTTCAGGACACTGCCTCCTCTTAAAGAAACGTGTGATATCTTTTACAGCATTTACGATGGAGCCTTTCTGCAAAGCAGCCGAAATCATTCTCACAAGAAATGTAGGAACATGTTTTACCATCTCCGCACACATCTGTTCTATGCGCATCCTCATCGAGGCGTTGTCTAGATACACTACGAATGCCTTCGGCAAAATTATTCTCAACATTTCCATGAGAAAAGCCACCAGGAAGCGCGTTAAAATGCACACCGCAATGGGTTTTGACAATGAAATGACCATATTCTTGAAAATCATCCTCAACATTTGTTCGCCTCCAACCGGGCTCTTAATTCAGAGAGGTAATCAAATAGTAGGACACAGAGGCCAATGCCCAAGAAAAACACACAGAAGTAAAACAGGAAAGAAACGTTTCTGGTACTCACAGATGCGGTGGGCAGGAGAGGCACTGCGCACCGTGCGGGGGGGACCCAGGAGGAATGGCAGAATTGTGGGGAGACTTACGTCATTTGAGGGCGGAGGCAGAGCTGTTTTGGCGCGATTTCCTGGAGGGCGGGAAGGCCCCAGGGCGGGAAGCTCCAAGAGTCTGTAGCCTTCCTGCCTTTCTGCCTTCCTTCCGGTCCAGCCCGGCTACCCCTGGAGGGTGGGGGTGGAGCTGGAGGGCGGACCTCCAGTGGCCTGGGGCCCGACAGAGGGAAGTGCTTGCACAGGAGAAATCCTGGCTTGCTGCGGTCAGAGAGTCAGACCCCAGGGGGGAGGATTTCAGTCAAGCTGGAGACGGAACAGAAGCGGATTCCTGTCTCCGTAAAATAGACGTGACGGCGAGGCACTTGGCCCACTACAGTCTCCCAAAGGTTTCCTGAAAGGAAGGAGAGAGTTGGCTGGCACAGCCCTTGGTACCCCTCCCCAGGGAGGTTGGGGCCTGTCCTCCTTTGTCACCCGCGGGGCTGCTGGGCACGCTGTAAATACGCGCAGACCAGTGAGAACAGAGGGGTCCACATACCCCCCAGACCACAAGACAGGGTGTCAGCCTAGTCCGCCAACCAGCCTGGACAGGACAGATGTGGGCAGACAGACAGATTGAAGAGGGTGTGGGGAGATGCCATGTGGTAAGGATGAGAGAAAGGATGAGATGGGGGCCTCTCCCTCTGACAGCCACCACAGGACTCACAGAGTTCCCTGAGAACATCCCGGGTTTCTGCCTTAGTGGCTGAGAGGCTGAGGAGAAACAGGACACACACAGGGCATTGTCTCTAACCCCCACTCCCCTACCCTGCTCTTTCCACCCACAAAATGCACAACCCACAGCCGTGCTGCCTTTCAGTTAGGTCATTGGGACAAAATAAGGGGGAATTGCAAGTGTAGTGCTCAGACCTGGCAGGTACTGCCACAGTCGGACGAGAAGGAAAGCGACATATTTGTCATGTCTCTCTTGATGTCACACAGAGAACACGGCATCATGTCTGGGGTGATCCTGCCCAAAATACACCAAGGACATCCATTCTTGAGGAACTCGGAGGAAAGGCAAAACGAGCCATCTTCAACAAAATCTCAGCTGGAAGTTCTTGGTTCCAGAGACTGGGCACCTCAAGGCAGGGCTTCCTCCTGGACTTGGTCCTGAGTCAGTGAGGGAAGAGGGAGAAGGAAATCTCTCTCTCTCCCGTCTTTCTCTCCCCCCTCCAAGCCCCTGCCGCTTGAGCCTGCAAGGTCTCTCCTACCTGAGAGGTGGTTTCCTTCCTTGTGTTTTCTGCTGTACACGTGTTAGTGGGACAGTGGGCAGACTTGGAAGTGGCTCTGTGGACTAGATCGTAATGTGGTTTCCACGCTCATCTCCTGTCACGCACGGAGTGTGGAAGGTTCCTGCCAGTGTCCCCACTGCTCCAGAAGGCACAGTAGAGAACTGACACCACACGGGCCCTAGCAGTGCACACAAAATGTTACTTCAATTCCTAGACCTCAATTAGGGTGATATTTTTCCTCAGGAGGATTTAACATAACACAGACCCTTGTCCTTGCATCCAGGAACACCCAAGGAGTAGAATTTCTTCCAAAACCTTTCTTCAGAAGGCAAAGAAAACTTTCTCCATTTCACTCCAACAGGAAGTCATCGGCTTCATAGTAGACAATGTTTCAAAGGCACTGGGATGAGTACCCAAGAACATATTGTCAGGATGGGCAGGGTAGGACAATTGGGAACCTAATTACAATTATAGGGTTTTGGACTACAAATATGGCCACCACTCGGACTACAAATATGGTCACCACTTGGACCACAAGGAATATGGCCCCTGAATATGCCTGCCATTTGTACTACAAGTAATATGGCGACTGAACTCTGACCCGGAAGAGGTGACTACATCAGTCCAGGAACCACCAATGTTATGTTGCTTCTTTGTTCACCAAGAACCAATCCTTGACTCTCCCGCAAGATGTCAAGCCATATAAAACTCCCACCCTTTCCCTTGCAGTCTTTTCTTAGCCATTTCTCCTCAGGGTGGATAAAAGACCTCAAGAGAGAAGGGAAAGGGTGGGGTTTTATATCGCTTGACTTCGTGCTGGAGCCAAGGATTGGTTCTTGGTGAACAAAGAAGCTACATATCATTGGTGGCTCCTAGTCTGACGTCGCCACCTCTTCTGGGTCAGAGTGCAGTCACCATATTACTTGTAGTCCAAATGGCAGTCATATTTGTAGTTCAAAATACTAATTGTAACTAGGTTCCCAATTGTCCTACCCTGCCCATCCTGACCGTGGGGTCTAAGAAAACCTTACACACATGAAGATTCGGAAATCTTTAGAGTTTTCCAAGCCACGTAACAGTACAATCAAGAACTTTTTGAAACTAAACAATAGGACAGGAAAGACACATTTGTTTCTATTATGAGAGCATTTCCAGACATCAGGGCTCTCTCCACCTGAGGGAGACACTGGACCTGGGTGGGCTTGTGGGGATGAGCCTGCAGCCTGTGCCTGGGACACCTGCCCCCCACCCAATCCAGTGCCCTGCAGTGCCCAGCCCAACAGTTGCCTTAGTGCATGCAGAGCACCTCCAAGGTGCTTGGGCTAGGAGGAGAAACAAAAGATCTTATCTCAGGAGCAAGGTCACGAACGGACCGGGATCACTGAAGTATGGGGTCTGAGGAACTCAAGTCCAGAGCGTTTCAGGGGAACTCTGTGTTCCCCAGGCCCCCCAGATTTTCCAGGCTGCTGGGTCCCAGGTGCACATGCAGGTTCTGGGGAGAAGGGGCCTGGCAGGGGTGAGAGCAGCATTCCACCTTCCCTGGCGAGTTCCCTTGTAGGGTCACAGCTCCCCAGTCTCCTCGGGAAAGCTGCCAAGCCGCTAGTACTCTGGGTTCCCTGCTGAGCGCCTGTCCTAGTCTCCATCTGCTCCTTGCCACTCTGGCCTGTCACCATGGCTGGGCATTATTAGCAGCTCCATTTTCTTGCTGAGCTTTGGACAGCCCAGTGGGATAGGGAATGAAAGGAAGTAGGGTCAGAGTATACACCTGGAAGTCTCAAAGTGTGTCTGTGGCAGAGGCCAGGGCTCTTACCCAGCACCAGGTGTTGGGATTCGAACTTCTTCACTGAGACAGCAGGGTCCCACCCCTGTGGTCTCCCTCAGCCTCCTGTGCTCCATGTCAAGCCCAGAGTCCTGTCCCACAGTAAGCCCTGTGATAATGAGAGGGAACCCCAGCAGTTCACTGCAGACACCTGCTCTTTCCATACCCACCAAAAGAGCCAGCTCTGCTGAGAAATCTTTGCTGTGTTGATTTTCCACAAGACTTTGCCACCTCGGGCTTTGGCGGAGTGTCCTGGGAATGGTGGGAGTGGGTGAAGTGCTGGAAGGGGCGGGTGAGGGAAGGAATGAGGCTGAGAGGAGAGTCCCGGTGGAGGGTGCAGAGCACTGAAAGGACGGGGGAGGACAAGCAGTGTTGAGGAGAGCCTGAGGGAGCCAAGCTGGGAATGGGGTTGGGGTGGGGGGTCCAGCTGGTGATGGAGGACAGAGTGTCTGCAGCAGGAGGACCAGGCAGGGGAGGAAGAGGAAGAGGAAGCTGCTCTTCCAGGCTTGGCTGGGGTCTGCAGGGGCAGGGCGGCTTTTGGTGGAACGAAGAACACACTTGAAGACTCATAGGAGTGTCCTCATGCTGGAAATTTGCACTTGATTTTGACACTGGGTGCTTGATTGTGCACTGCTATAGAGGACGGGGGAGGGGAGGGTTGAGTGGGGGGAGGGGAAAAGACACTGGAAAGTGTGAAAAGAAAACAGAATGCAGGGTCGTGGTGGGTGAAAGAGGAAGAAAATAAAAGGGTGTTTCTGAACAGAAGGAGCCAGAGAAAGGGGTGTTAGGAACCATCAGAGGCTGAGTTGCCTGCAGTTTAGCTCAGGGTGTCCTCAGGGGCAGAGTCCCTGGGACCCTGAGAGAGGGGTGGGAGGGAGACCCGGGTGAGAGGGAGACTGGCTGTCATGGGGCACCTGGTGTGTAGGTGCTGGGGGGAACTGGAGGGAGTGGGGACTGCTTGGGGAGTTGAAGGCTGGGGGGAGGGGCGGGAGGAGGCTGCAAGTGGCAGGAAGTCGGGAAGAGGGTTGCAAAACTGGCGGCTGGGGGAGGGTGGGAAAGGCAGGGGGGCTCCCAGCCTGGGGAGGGTGGGCCTGTGGGCTGGATTCTCCGAATCCCGGCCTCCAGAGTGAGGGCCCCGTTTTCAGTGTCAGGCCAGGTAGAATCTGGGGATACTTTCCTCCAAGGAAGGTCTGGTCCTGCCTTTTCAGCTTCTGTGGGGAGCACCCCAGAAACGCACAATGTGGCCTCCCCAGCACCCCAGGTGATCTGAGGAGGAGGCTTCCACTGGCAGTAAGTGCGCAGGAGGGAGGCACACAGTGGAGCCTGAGGGGCAGCCTGCTTGCCTGTGGGCCTTGGGGTACCTGATGGAGGGAACAGGGTCAGGGTGTCCTTGGAACCGGCTGAGCCAAAGGGAGTGAGGAACATGGCGAGTGAGGGTTAGGAACCCAGCACTTAGATGCCTGCAGTCACATGGGGCAGCGTCCTCTTCCCCCTCACAGCCGTGGGGCCCTTTTCTCCCCTCTTCCTTAAAGGTCGGCTGCGGTATCCCGAGCTCCACACTTGTCCTCTAGTCACTCCCCTCATGGCATTGTTTCCCCACAGGGGCTTCTTGCCCGCTCCACTCCCTAGGGCTCGTCCATTGTGCACTTGGACAACCTGCGCAGATCACCTCCCACTGATGTCATTCGGGGGGCTGGGGCACCTGTTACGTTCACCCAGAATTCAACATTTCCTCCACCAAAAGGATAGTACACAAAAATAAAAATAAACAAGCAAGTGTACATGCACCTGAAAATCACAGAACAAAACCACCTTAGTATATATATAAGTGTGTGTGTGTATTTGCATGTTATACACATTTCTTGTGTTTGTGTGTAGATAGACAGCTGAAATGGAGCAGAGCTGACCCCACAAGGACTCAACATGTGCAAATGTGGTTCAAGACAACAAAGTATGGATAAACCATAGAGCATACATGCCTTCCTCCACACCACTTAAA